GACACTTTGAATATCTAAGAATGCCCTTTGGATTGAAAAATGCACCCGCTACTTTTCAACGCGTAATGGATGAAGTACTGAAAGAAGTGCAAAATAAAATTTGCATGGTCTTCAAGAATGACATTATAATCTTCAGTACTAGTCTTCAAGAGCATATTCAAAATTTGCGACTTATATTTACAAAATTAAGAGAAGCAAACTTAAAAATCCAACTCGACAAATGCGAACTATTACAACGAGAAGTCGAATTCCTTGGTCATCTAGTCACACCTGAAGGAATCAGACCAAACAACAATAAAATAAAGGCAATACAAAACTACCCTATTCCCAAAACACAGCAAAACATAAAATCATTTTTAGGACTTCTAGGATACTACAGAAAGTTCATCAAAAACTTTACCAAAATCACAAAACCCCTAACAAAGGGTTTAAAGAAGAACGAAAAGGTAGAACACACAAAATAATTTATAGAATGTTTCAACACATGTAAAAATCTGCTAACTTCAGAACCAGTATTAGCTTACCCTGATTTTTCCAAAACATTTGAACTAATATCCGATGCTTTAAACTTTGCAATTTCAGGAATTCTATCTCAAGACAACCACCCAATCTGTTATGCATCAAGAACGTTAAACACCGCCGAGATAAACTATTCTACAATAGAGAAAGAATTGCCGGGTTCGGTTCTGGGCCCGACCCTGTGGAACATACTCTATGATGACGTGATAAAAATTACAACAGATAGGAATGTCGAACTCGTCTGCTACGCTGACGACTTGGCGATAATTGTGAAAGCAAAAACAATAGAGGAAAGCATGACGTCCGGAAATACTGCGTTGGATTCGGTTCAAAAATGGATGGTGGCCAATGGCCTGGAATTGGCTCCAGAAAAAACGGTCGCGGTGGTGTTCGGCCATAGTTACAAAAATCGGCGAGAGATAAAATTTCGGCTTGGTGAACATCTGATCGTACCTTCCAGTACGGTCAAATATTTAGGAGTTACACTCGATTATGAATTGAGGTTCGAAAATCACGTAAGACAAATAGTGTCTAAGTGCAACAAAACAGCTAAGGCGCTTCAGGCTATATTGCCAATCATAAAAGGCTCAGCGTGCTCCAAACGGAGAGTGTTGTCAATGGCAACCCAATCCGTTCTTACGTACGCTGCTCCCGTATGGAGACAAGCTCTGCAAGAAGCCAGGAACGCCCAGCTACTGACGTCCAGCCAATAGAATCGTGGAAAAGGACGAGGCTAAACGTATAAGGGACGAAGAAAGGGAAAGGTCTATCGAGGAGTGGCAAAGAGAATGGAGCGGCGGAAGGGAGACTGCGGAATGGACGATAAAACTCATTCGAGTTAAAACCTTGGCTCGCTCGAAAACATGGTGAAATCACATACGCAATAACCCAGTTCTTGACGGGCCACGGTTGTTTTGGTACTTACTTGCAACGCATCAAAAAGAGAACGAGTTCGCGCTGCGTCTACGGCGATTCCGACCGCGATTCAGCGGAACACACGCTTTTCGAATGCGTTAGATTCGGAAAGGAAAGGATGGAGATGGAGATAGAACTGGAAACAAAAGTGGCACCATTAAACCTGGTGCGCAATATGCTAAAAGGAAGAAAAGAGTGTGAAATTATAGCCAGAGGAATGGATAGGATAGTAGAAAGGAAAGAAAGAGAGGAGAGAAGGTATATTTAGGAAGAAAGTCAGCACACCCTCTGAAGAATATCCTCCAGGACAGTACCGGAGGGTGTGTGAGTGAACCACGCAGGGGTGGTTTTTTAGTGGGTAGGGGGCCTCAAAACATTAGAGGTCCCGAGCCCCACACTACCTGGGCCACATTCCCAGGTGCACGTAAACGTATTTTTCCACCTCCGCCCACAAAAAAAAATATGCTGGACTGACAACATAGTTGCCAATGAAAGAAAGCCAAATATACCACATTTTACCGACATTGGGAAGCGCCAAACCTAGGAAAAAATTGAATAGTCGAGTTCAACTGAACCGAACTCGGATCGGCGCCGTACAACCGCTGAAAATTGAACTCTGGTTCACCGGTAACTGACGGTTCAATTGAACCATCGTTGAACTTGCTTTTGTGCAACCGGGCCTAAGTGATACTTAGCTAAGATGAAGTTTCACCTGGCAACATTGCTAAAAGTGATATATTGACTTTTGCTCCGCCTTTTCTTCCCAAATTAACCTTTATCTTTAGGACGAATCCAGTCTTTTAAGTTTACCCCACATTGTGCACGTGACGAATAGAATTAAATATGCCGTTAGAAAATAAAAAACGGGCGCCAAATTTTTCATTTTAAGAAAAATGTCTGTTAATTAATGTAATCCACAATTTCAAGCATATTGTGGAAAATATAGAAACAAATGCTACCACTTGGCGAGATGAACATTTGGCGTGGACCCAAACTCAGTACCCTTTTTTGAAATTCGATAAGAACATTTTTACCGAAATTAAGTTTCAAAAAATTCAATGCCCGACCAGCTGGTAGCGTCAGATTCATGAAAACACCGTAACTACCAGAGGTACAGCATTGACAAATTTCTGCGGTTCTTCAAAACTCGATAACTATGCGCGTTTTTTTTTAAAACTCGATAGGTTACGAACCGGGTACCGGTAGGGGTAGCAACGAAATAGCTTCTGGTCTGTTCCATTATCTAAGCAAGCTTGAAAACACATTGTTTGACGAAGGCAAGAATGAATTGATCTCGGAGTTATTTTCAGACTACTGCTCCTCTCAAAACAAGAACAGTACTATAATGACAGTCCGTATCTATTTTTTGGAACAGTCTAGAGTTTTTAAGGAAATAAAACATTTTTTCCCATAAGAGGTCATAGTTTCATGTCTCCAGACAGAGTTTTTGGAAGAGTGGAGAAAGAATATCGAAGATGAGAAGAAATTTTAGTACCGAGGGAGTGTCACGAGATTTTGAAAAACCATGGAACAATCAATATTTGGGGACAGGACTGGAATACGTTTGATTATAAGTTGGTATCGCAGAGCATTGTGAAGAAAAAGCTACCTTTCAAAATAAGCGAAGCTCGGGTCTTAACGTACCAGAAAAGGAAAAGACAGTTATTTGCAAAGTAAGCACTACATACAGGGTGATTAAAAATTGGCCTCATTCCTTTTAAGGGGTGATAGAGGCGCCCTTGGGGAGTACGAAGAAAATACTGAAAATTTTTCTTTCAAAAATTTCAAGAAGATATTAACAGTTGAAGATCGAATTTCAACATTGTTATTAAGCATTATTTTGAAATTGTTCCATGTTTGATTGGTAGCATATTGGAATACTCAAGCATTCAAAAAGAAAAATTACGATCTGTGCTTCAAATTAAGAAAATTTTTAATATCAAAAAGTTCTCTTCTACAATTTTTTGATGAAAAGGCACAGCGGCAGTGATGTTTTTTGTCATTAACAGATAGTTACAGGTGGATAGCCCTTGTCAATCATAACAATATTTTGTCAAACTGTGACTTACTTTGAATTTCCTTTCACGAATTTGTGGATATGCGATTAGTTCAGAGGAAATGCCACAAACTACATAGCACAAGCGGAAAGAACTCACCCCAACTAAGGGCGAGGGGAGTAGTTCCAGGAAGATAGTGGACGACAATCCATGTTCGGGTTCCAGACACAGAGGAACAAGTATTGGACATAATCGAATCAGGGCCTTCCAGAGGTACTCAGAGCACAATAACTGATACTTTCCCAAGCACCAAATAAATATCGAGGAGGGGTACGTTCCAACCACGTTTGTACGATACACACAGCACAAGCAGATACAAATGGAGCAGGAGTTAATTAACTGAATACGAGAAGCTGCTTGATAAGAGTGGATAATAAGGAGATTACACAGGCACTAGCTTGTTTGGAGTTAACCATTCAAATGTTTGGTGTTGTATGGTTGATTTTTAAACACCGATATTCGAGGTTATGAGAACAGGTTGACATTTCGTCAACAAATATTGTTGAATTGACCGTATATCCTTGTCTATCTTATTGTCAGTCTGTATAATTCCATGGTTACCTGAGTTTAAAATAATTACGAAGCAACAAGTATTTGCGCAATGTTAATTAGGCAGATTACCGTGAAAAACATTGCTGCCGTATTTCTGATATAGTTTTTTGCAAATTTCTCAGTTTTTAATAACAATTAATTTCTTTTGCTATTTTTTCTGTACTCTTAACAGCGCCAGACAACACCTTCAGAGGAATAGCACCAATTTTGAATCACCCTATATGCTGGTTATGACATAAAAGTTAGTGGTTTCAAAAAAGCTGTAAAAAACGCTAATCGGATATCAGAAGCTCAAAAGCTTCCAGCAGTGAATCATGATAGTGACCTCAAGAAAAGTGACGTTAAAAAGCTCTTACGTGGCATGGATCTTACGGATGAAGTTACTACTTTTTATGATAAAGTTATGAAAGAACCTGCCATTACTGTTGACAATAGTGCTGATGAGGTAGGACAGGACGATGATGAGGAAGTGGATGTTCGAAATATACTAATCTTTTTATCTAAAAATGTTATTTTTTCTTAATAATTTAATCTAATTTTTGTTCTCATAATACGTACTTATCGAGTTTTCCAAAAACTGCATATTTGTTTATTTTTTGTTTATGTATAATAACATTGATATTACATTTTGTTATCTTACTAATTTGTTTGCATATATTACTAAATTATTAATTAAATATCTAAATTGATCAATACGTATTATCGTTTTAGTCAGATTAGAAAAATGCTATTATGATATTATTTTCGGGGAATGTTGGTCAACCGAAAACGCCGTGTTTAAAACGCACGTGGGCAAAAAGGCGCAGACCGTCACAAGTTCCACAGACTGTAGACTCCCAGTTTGAAGCGAATAAGGCTAAGAGGAGCTTCAAAACCTTTTGGCGAAAAGGGAGCAGGACAAAATCCTGTTCGAGTTGCAGCAGGAACAGTTACGATTAGAAATCGAAATACTCCAAAAACATTAAACAAATAATCAATTTTATATTTGTTTTTACTCATTCAGTTTGTTTCAATTCACTTCATCGCTATTCACCAATGAATCTAAAATAGGAATCAGTCAAGTCCCTCCTATTTTGATTCCCTTGCGACAATATGTTGCTGGAAGCGAGTGGAATGTTGGGTACTTTATCAAGCATAAGACGTATAAATCGTTCAACATCTTCGGGATCAGGTGGCTCTTCCTCATGTTGTTCTCAACATATATTATGAAGAACTGCAGTAGCAATTATTATTATTAAGACCGTATCTAGTTTTAGACGACAACCGTATGCAAGAACTGGAAATCGTCTTTTGCAGATACCAAATAGCCGTTCAGTTATATTTCTTGTCCGTATACGCGACTCGTTGCATAATTGCTCTGCACGATTTGCAGGCTGTTGTAACGGAGTTAATAAATACGGCCTTATGTTATATCCTTCATCGCCTATAAACAGAAATTAACAGATGCATATATCGTTTAAATATACGAGGTACATATAAAAAGAACAAACATCCTCATAGGTTACTTACCTAATAAAATGGAGTTACGAAATAAGTTGTTTTCAAACTCGTTCTTCACTTTGCTGTTGTTGAATATGATAGCGTCGTGAATTGATCCATGCCAGCTGGCTACCACATTAACAAGCCAAGCTTTAAAGCAGCATCACCTAGCCTGAACGTTTATTGAAAAATAGCCCTTTCGAATTCTAAACACTTCAGCATCCGATCCACCTAAGTACATGATTTAAGGTCTCATGTTATTACACTACTTGTCATACGTATTTTATCGTGTGTGAAATAGTATCGTACAAACATACCTGGTGACTCAATTTTTATATGAGTACAGTCAATTACTCCAACTACCCGGGGAAAGCGAGGTTTTTTATAAAATTTCAACTGGCATTCATTGATGTTATCGACTAAAGGCATTTTAACGAATTTACTATATAATCGGGCAAGTGTGCTTCCCACTCTGACAACTATTCTAGATGCAGTCGACAAGTGAATTCCACTAAAATCTCCAATGCAAACAAGGTGAGCTCCAGTAGCACAAAATCGCAGGAAAACAAGCAATTGGTTTATTGGCGCAACACTATTGTTCCTAAAAAATGTACTAGACGTGATTTGTATTCACGTTACATCTATTTTAAATGTACCTGGACATAGTTATTCTCCGTTACACAAAGTTTACATTGTAAAGTAATATAAAATTTAATATTTTCAACTCTACATATCAACAAACTGATTTTTACTTACATATCTAATGGAAACTCTATTTCTTCTTCTATCAGGTTTAATATGAAAAGTGCGGTGGACTTTGTGACGCGAAACCGTTGAAAAAAACAGAACATCATCAAAACTATTAAAATAATGTGTTCTCTCGTAAATTCGTCTAGAAACTCGCACTTGATCGAAGTCATCATCATCAACAAATAACAGATCATTAGTTAACACATTCATAATAAATTAATATCTGCTGATAACGACAAATCGGCTTGTTTACAACAAAATACTGCAACAATGATGTAATAACAGTTCTGTTTGAACCTCAAACTCAAAAATCCTCCGAAACTGACGTTAGGCAGAGTTTAGGTTCCACAACATCAAGGCCTTATTAGGCAATTATTTGCCTGTTACGGTTTGCCTTAACGCTAGGTGAGAGTGGTGCAAACGAATTCTATCACTTTACGGTCACTCTTAAGTTAAGGTGACCCTTAGTTTCACTGGTGCAAATGGCCGTTACACGTTCAAACTCAAAGGATTACTTTAAACATATTCTCTTGTTTAAAAGTTGAAAATGGTGATTCTTTGGTAAATTGCATTTTTAAGAGAATTTCTGAATTGACCAAACTTAGCCGTTCTACAATTATAAGAGTGATTAAAGCTGGTGGTGTAATTGACCACCCGAGTAATCGGAAACGAGTTGGAACTAAACTGGAAAAAAAATTGCGCCCCATGCAATTACCACCCAGGACATACCCCACAAATCAGCAAGTCTTTGGCCCCTCTCAAAATGTATTTCGACCAAAGCAAATCCCACCCCATCAATTGCCGAAACCCGAACCTATGGATATCTCAGGAGTGTCCAGAAACCCCACTTTGCGAACTGGTAGACCAAATTTCTCAAACCAGACCAATTATTTCAGACAACAGCCAAATCAAAAACCCAATTTTGTTTTCCAAGAACTTCACGCAAATGATTCGATGGCACAACGACCAATAATTCATAACGATAATTCTAATTATCCGAGTTATTATTCTTCTCATGCGCAAAGCCATTATGACACCTACGACGATCAGCACTTTGATACGCCAGCCGAACAGAACAGTTACGGCCGTTAAAGCGAGGAAATTCAGGATTATGACGAAATTGAAGACATTCAAAATTTTATCGAAACAGGCCCGGAAGAAATTTCACCTTAGCCGACATAAACATTTCTTCTAGCAACGCACTCCCC